AGTAAGCCTAGCACACCAGTTTCTGAGGGAGAGGAAAGTGATCATTTGTCTGAGTTAACACTTAACTGAGGCCTGTTTCTGATCACTCGTTTACCCCTCATGCTTCTTCCTCATTCATTTAACCATTGTAGCAGAGGCTGTGAGTCAGTGCCATCAGCTGGTGTTGTTCATGATGTGGCATAGTGATACGCTGTCATCTGCCATCAGTCCATCAGTTTCAGTTTCGCTGAGCACAGGACTTTGGGTAGGGTTGGTTGTTTGCTGCTCTGCAGAGGTGGTGATCTCTGGCAGTGAAGTGGAGGGGAATAGACAATGGGAAGACATAACAGCTTCTCCTGCCACAGCATGTATTAGTGGCACTGTGATTTGGAGCCTGCAGGTATTCAGTAATAAATGTAACTTTTAATATTTTTAAATGGTACCTGTCGGAATTTTTTTCCAAGATTTGGAATGCAAAAATATGTTCTGAGAAAGCACGCACAGAAGACGGAATGCCTCTACAGATTCATTTAGATTTCTGTGTACTTTTGAATGTTTCCTTGCTTGCTCTACATGAATGAATTTTTGTTTCTTTTTATTTATTTATTATCTTGCAATAGTGTTTCTGATACGTTACTCTTCCAGGAAGACTAGGGAAAGCTGGAACGAATATCTTGAGACTGATAGGACTGACTGGAGGAGAGCATCCTAGGTGTCTGTCATACATCACGAAGGAACAAAGAGGGTGCTTTTTCTGCCTGCTGGTCACCTTTAAGCATAGCAGGGGTGATATAACAAGATCTGTACACAGCATGAGAGTGTTGAACGTACAGAATATAGTAGATTTGCATTTCACTTGTAGGTTTACTTTTTCCATATACATAGGTTTTTATATTAGCGGGTGGTAAGTCAGAAGTCAAGAATATGGTACAAGAGAGAAATGAATGAGAAAAAATGGTACTATGGTTATTCCTCTGTAATTGAAAAATTACCCCCCAAACCTCAGATCGTACAGCATCACTTATGATACTTAATAGTGTTGGAAATAGAAAAGAACAAATGAGAATAACAGAAGCATCAGAATTATACTCTACAGTTTTATTCCTGTTGATAAATACAATAAAGTGCTATGTCATTAAAATAGCCCTCAGAGGGTATGGTTTAATGAGGTTTCTTGAACTGAATTAAGAGCACATTGTCAACAAAAGGGGGGCAACCTCCTTGCGTGCTCCTCACTGCTCCTCACTCCCTCTTACTTCGCCACGACTCTGATGTTCTGTTGATCGCATGGTAGTAGAATTCAGCTCACTAAAATGGCAGAAAAATAACCTGGCCAAAAAAGATGAAAAAATCTTAAACTAAGTATATATTGGGTGTTGATATCTTTCTTGTTAAGTACTCCAGCTTCAAAGTACTCCAGTTACATCTTTGCTGCTTCCAGTATGTGCTTGCTTAGTCTATTGAAACACTCTGTGTAGCTTAAGAGAATGATAGGAATGTACTGTCAAAGTGTGGTCTGATGTTGGCTTTTCTGTCGGTCGCCTAATAAGCCTTGGAAGGAATAACCAACTAATTCTTTTCTTTAAGGATATGCTCAAGATTCTGATGAACTAGTTTTGGTGAGAAGTAGGAAAAAACCCAATCTTCACTAACCTAATAATTAGCCTACAGTACATATAGTCCAGTGCAGGAGAGTGTTTTGCTCTGGATGGTAGTTGGAAGTCTAGCTAGTAGAATGCTTTATTCTTGACTGTAGTGTCAAATGATTCTTCAGATTTCTATTTACTTCATTTTAGGTAAATTTACTGAAAACCTTCTGGCACGTCCTGTTGCCAGACTATTCTGCTTGTCTACTCCTTCATCCCTCTGCTTCATTTCCCTTGTAAATTGTCCCTCATTTGTTGGCAGCAGAGTGGTCATAATAAAACTGAAGCTCTGACTCCATAAACCATGACATGTGTGACTGCTTTAATTAATTTTCAGGAGCATCTTTCTATTGAAAACTTTTAGGTTAGCGACATCTTCTTATTAAGACAGTTTATGAATCCTGTCTAACCTTTTATATTTCATGTTTAATAATGAAAAATGAGGGAAGAGCTAAGTAACAGTGAAGACAGTTCAGTGATTTAGCTATTTTGTTCAATAATTGCTATATACAAAATAGTGCTAATTTTATAGCATAGAGCTTACAATTCAGTTGCATGACTTAAGATACGTTTCCTGTGACTTTGGGGTTTCTAAAAACCTTAAAGCAACCTTGGTTTCCAGTAATCAGTAAAAATGAGTTGGAAAGAACTCTAATGGCCAGTTTGCTTGCATTGACATTTTCTCCTTTTTATTTATATGCAGGTCAACTCCCTAAAGTTCCCTGACTTACCACTACAGGCTGTTACTGTTGTGCATGGGACCATATTCACCTGTGAGGAACAGACTCATTAGGGTTCATATACATCATTTCTCTGGCTTTTAACTTGGAGACATGCAACCCAAATACTTTGGGCTGAGATAACAGACTCCTTTTGTCTGTGTAATTGGCTCAAGATATGACTTGAACGATATTCCTTAATTTCCCTTCTCTCATTGTTAAATTGAGCAAAAAGCAGCACTTAAAGTAGCTGAACTACTCTACAGCTGCTCTAATTGAAGCTAGAGTAGTCTTGTAATTTGAGCTACTTCTATTTGCAGTCTGTTCTGTGGTCTGATTACCTGAACAGTTTGCCTCCCATCTGGAGGTGTTTGGGCCATCCCTTGGTTTGTCATCCAGCAATTGTCTCTTCCTCTACTTCAGCATTTGTGCTGTTGTTCCAGGGTCACTCTCTGTGCCTTTGTTATTTGTTTCATTAATATTTCAGTCCCTGAAAGTATTTTATCTCCAGGTGAAATCCTAACTAACAACAGGTCTGGCATAAAAACTCAGGGTCATATTGGTTGTCTCATTGCTGAGTGCTTTTCTATATATGGTCTGTAATGCTTGGCAGCAAAAGAGAACTCCAAAAATCTGCAGATGTTTGATGTATGAAGGCGCCTCCCCTAGATGGGACATAATATCCAATAACAGTAGTGCTGGGTTGAGTTAGGGTTAATTCTCACCAGTGAGGAATACAAATTGTTGGAGAAGAGGGAGGAAGAGTTGGGAGGCACAAGTCAGAGAAACATAAAGCAGCTTTACCTCTGCAAATAAGGGTTTGATTCATCATTGGTACACCTTAAGAGGGAAGTGATACGAAAGTTTAGGATGGGGGCAGATACTGTGTAGTAGACGTGTGTGTGTGGGAGGGTTTACTGCTTCCTTTCTACGTTTTCTGTCCTTCTAGTAATAGTATCCATCCCTCTTAACGTAGTTCAGAGCGCAGGCTCTAGTTGCCAAAGATGAAGGAGAAGGGTGTGGGGATATTTCAACTGAACGGATGTTTTTCGTTCAGCAGCCTCTTTTGAGGGTGTATATGTTTGGGATTGGCAAAATTTAATAGCTGCAAATTATAGAGAATTTAGATTATGGATCATAGTATTTTGAGATAAAATTGTGATTTAGACCTGGCTGACTCACACAAATTCAGTGGGATGTGGTTTTCTTTAAACTCTGTTGGTGTGGTAGTGCTCAGGAGTTCCAGGCTCCCTGTGAGTGTGTGTTGCGGGGGCGTTACATTAGGTGACTGAATTTGCTACTCCCTCATTATATTGCATGAGAACCAGGCTGTCAAATGGATATATTTGATTCATTTATGGGTGTTGTAATAGCAATTACCAGAAAGACCAAGCTAAGGTCACTTCTTCCTTTTTCAGTCCATGAAGTCTCCTGCAGAATGTGGCAAGTAGCAGACAGAAATCTCTCTAAAATGCTGCCCTTGGTCAAATCTCACTTCATTATTGATCTGTCTTCATGTATGACCTTCCTGGAAATGTGTTCTCTCTGTGTGCGTGCATGTCCCTACTTAAAGTAGAGACTGTTGAAAGAGTAATGTGTAATAGTGTCAGTCACTGTTGGACTCATTAGTGCTCTGAGCAGCTCTGTGTGTTCACAGTGGCTGCATTCAGTGCTGCCTTCTTTTTGATTGCTTTCCTTCAAATGGGTCTGTGGGATGCTTGCATTTTCTTAGTGTGTTTAAATGTACATGGTAGAGCCTTTGGTTCAGCATTTCAGGCTTCCTGAATTTGTTATTTGGCTTGTTGGAAAGTTGTATTTTTGATATGTTAGGCCATCTTCTAAACTGTTTATTTCATACTGTATTTTGTAAGTACTTTGTGGAAGATGAGTTGATGCTAGGCACTAAGCAATTTTTGATGTGAAGTGTGCTTGCCAAACCTGTCAGATCTTCCGGAACTCATTGCAGAAAGTGTCAAGCAAAAAAGTGACATGTTTTATGGAAGGTCAGATGTTTCTCTATCACTTATAATTTTGGTGTGGTTTATTGTTACAGAAAAGAATAAGAAATAAGATTCTTGGTGTGGCTGGCATAGTTTTGGAAGACGTTTAAAACTTTGTGGTGATGCAGCTGTTTGCTCCGCAGCAGTTTTGACAACTGCTAATGTGAGTAGAGAGAATTACAAATATGAATACAGAAGAGCTGCTTTCACAAGCGAGACATAATTGAATGTCTCATTTTATGTATATTTTTTCTTTATTTTGGGGAAGAAACTCAGTTTTTTTCAATTTTTAGTTTTTCCCCCCCCCCCCCCAATGTTTAGTTTTTTTTTTTGTAGGTGACTTGTTATTGTAATGAAAGCAAATGAGTCAGTTTTTCTCATTTACTTACTACTTCTCACCTAGTTTGCTTGTAGGTCCTCCTAACAGTTGTTTCTCTGGATAGACTTAAGGTACTTCCCAACTAGGATATTCCTTGACTAAGGAAAGTGCATGCATTCTACTCCTTTGCATCCTCTTGGAATGACTAGGTGAAATCTAAACATCTTAATGTAAAACCCACTTTAGCTAGATTTTGGGAAAACAGAAGAAAATTAAGAGCTTGATTTCTGATAGCTGCCATGTTTACTGGTGGGTTTTTTGGTTTCTTTTTTGCTAGTTGGGGCAGACCAATACTACATAAAGACTTGGAGCAGAGAAGCAGTTGTCCATACAGGCTCCAAAGTAGGTCTCTGTAATTTTACTTTCTCAAAGGAGCAAGGTCTTGTTCCTGGATAAGGTGGAAAGGTGGGACTGAGAGAGGATAAGCCAGACAGACATTTTGGTACCCAAATGACTGCAAATGAGTATCCCGTGGACCTGGCTGCAGTGAGAACCAATTTAGCAGCAGTGTCTTGCATCATACAGAGCACTGCCTTCCCCTCACATGGGGAATGGTGTTGGTGCGTGTAACTAGTCGTCTTGTGTATGTTTCCTGTATCTTGTTGTAGAATGACATGGAAGTGTGTCCTTCTAAAGCTTAACATCCTTTCATTACACACAAATTACTAGAAGTGATGTGGAAGTACTCTGTTCTTGTTTTGGTTTAGATCTTGCTTGTTTTTCTTATGAAGGAAAATGTATTTTCCTATGTGGAAGAGCTGTTTTTAATCTGTGACCTGAATCGAGCTGGATTACAACATTGCCAGAATTAAGATTGCACCAGCCAATTTATTCCCCCAGTTATGTCACTGCTTGCCGTTTCTCTCTGATCTGCAATACAAAAATTGGAGTCTGCTTAATTATTAAGTAGTAGTGAGTTTAGAGCAAATAAAAAGGAAGGTGGCAAGGACTACTAAATGACACAAAGTAGCACGGGGCAGCCAGCCAGTTTGGTGGGCTGTGAGCAGTAAGTGCTGTTTATGGTATCAACGTCAACTGTGTACCTTTGGTTTATGTGCTTGCCCCTAAATTGCAGTTGTTACCCCCCAATGCGGCCATGTTGTGCTAAAGCATAGGTTAGTATGGTGAATGTACTTTTTCACAAATCTGTATGAATTCTAAGCCTGATGGGTAAAAATGGATGCATTATTTTTAAGCCTATTTTTCCTCCTTCAGTCCTAAAAAGCAACCCCTAAGCAACTCTGTTTGAAATTAGAAAACTAATATTAGTGTTTATAGTTACTGTAGTCTCTTTACTTAAATAAAATTTGGGCAGCATGTTATTGCTGACTGTATAGAATTTCAGACCGTTGAAAGTAATTGGCATGGCAAGCCGAAGTTGATGAACTGATGAGCTGGTCAGTAGCAATTGTAGCTTCTGCAGATGCTGAGAAAGAAGTGACATTTTGGTTCATTGTTCACTTGACAAAACAGGAAAGGAGATTTCTCTTAAGATTTTATTTGTGTGAGTTCTGTGGATGTTAAAATCATGAAGGGCATGATGATCAGAAACAACCAGTCCATCTATTAGCTGTGGATAATACTTCCTTTATTTCTTATCTCCATTTTAGATGTGGAACACTTCTAAATCCAGCAAATTGTAGTTCAGCTTGAGTGATATGCAATTATAATAATGCAGAAAAATTACTATTTTAAAAATCCAGTTTTCATTCAGAGATGCTCAAAGTCAGTAAAGCTTTTAATGAATACTGTGGTTCTTACATTTCCTTATGTTAGAAAATAATAAATTGAGGAACCTCAATGCATAAAGGATGTTAAACAGTTACCAACATGTAAGTATGTTCTCCCAAACACTTGTCTTTAAATTACAACTTTAGAGATGATTTTTAATAATAAAGTTCTTGACTGTCAAATGTATATGCCATGCTTTATTGTTATTGGCATGAATAATTCCATTAATCTTATGGCTCAAGCTAAAAGGGAAACAAAGAGTTACGCAGTTGCATAAATGTCATCTCCAAGATGGCCTAATAAGATACAAAAATTTTCATTTCCTAAAAATGAAATATGTGACATCTCATTCAGTTACTGGAACCATAAACTTTGCTTTTCTTTGACACAGTCATTTACTTCCTATCCCATAATTCTTATCTAGTTTTTTTTAACTACATTTAAAAAAACAAAAAAGGAAGAGAATTGTAGAGTAGTTTGATTCCTTATTCTTGAAAATGTCCTCTTTTTGAGGATTATGGAATCACTGAAGAACATGCCCTGGCAGTCACTGGAGGAAAACTGGAATGGAGTGAAAGGAAAACACATGTTTGGAAACTCAGAAATGTTGAGAACAAAGTGATGGGAGAATGCAGTGAAATTCTTCTGCTGGTGAGCTGCTTCTGTTCTTGAGCTAATTTGATGCTGAAATGTGTGGTGGAGCATAGTATTTGTCACATTGTCTGAAATAATAAATTCAGCAGTCTGAGAAGGGAAAATAGATGAATTGTTACTTTTCTAATATGATAGGGAAGGTGATGTTGCCTATCAAGCTTTTAAATGAGGGTGAAGACCTTGTGCTGTTTCAAATGAACGTATTTTGTCTGAACAATTTGCATTTTTATGGTTAAAGCAAAATAAAAAGTAGATCATAAAGTATGTATTGTGAGACTGGTTTAGGAGAAAAGGTGTCTGTCGAAGAGCTAAAGTGGTGTTTAGAGAGAACAGCTTCTCTGTGAGAAAGTAGCTGGGAAAAAAAATCTCCAAAAAGCTGAAAGCAAGGCTAGCCTGCTGTAGAAACCCAGCATGCCTCTCCATCCAGAAGTAATTGCTGTGTTAGGTCATCATAACATGAAAACCATTGTCTTGTTTGGAGATCGTGGAAGATTTTGTCTTTAGTCAAAGGATTTTTCTATGCTGCTGTGCAGTATTTGGGCATCCATACCAATTTTAAACAGATGAGCTCTGGGATTAGGCACAGTCCAACTATGAAGCATGGATTGCAACGTAGGCTAGTTTATGAACCCAAGGAAGTAATTAATACAATTCTGCTTTCCAAAAGAGGGCAGTTTTTTAGCAGATTGAGTCCATAATTGAAGATTTGACTGGGATTGCAGTTGTGCAGTTGCAAAAGTCTTGATTTAAAAAAGCCTCTATCACATTACGAATTAAAACTGGAAGTTGTACAAAATCTGGTCCAGAAAACTGACTTAACTGGGGAAGAAGGGTGTGGGGAGGATTCAAATCACTAGGAATACATTACACAATGGAAAGATTTGGCAGTCCTACCTTGAAAATATCTTGGGATTACAGAGTAGTGAAAACTTATTTTCAGATGGTTGGTTTCTGAGATGTGTTCAGAATAAGGGGAGAAAAGAAGGAAGTTATTTTAAGAGGTGTTTTTTCTGCTGGAAACATACCTTTGGGTGCATTGCAGACTTCCATCCGAGTGACAGCTTCAATGAGCAGTGCACCATGTTATGGATGTGCAATTGAATGTTTAAATGCCTAGGAATGTTTTGATTTGTTTTTTATTTTTTTTTTAAGTATGCATTTCCACTGGAGAATATGGAAATGCTAAATTTGACTGGAAATGGGAAAATGAAAATTCTTAAATCCAGTGAGGTGAGTAAATCACACAGGAAATGTTAATATTGTGTGCTTCTGATATTTTTGGGTGTCTTTCCACCCTACTCCACCCTCCCGCCTCAAACTGGGATAGTGTTGGAAATACCAAATTTTCTCATGGAAGACCTGTATAGCTGCCGTTCTCTGTTGACACGCTCTGATGGTAGACCATTTTCACCTCCTACTGTACCACCAGCATTTTATCACTTTTTAAACCATAGTCATTGTTTTTTCTTAAATTCTTCTTGAATGGGGAACTAATAATAAATTATTATATAATTATAATATTAATATATTATAATTACTAGTATAATAAATGCTTATACCAGTGAATGCACAATCCAGTTGAAATAGTTTATTGGTACAGTGTTTGAGTCTCTCTCTTCGCCTGCAAGATTTCAGAAGGCAACATAGTTATGCTTCCTAATATGTCATACTTGTTCTGCTTGAATTTTTTTTTCTTTTTTCTTTTTTAATGGCTGTCAAGGTGAATGGATAAAGAGGATAGGAATGAAACATGATGAGTGTTCAATTAAAACAGTTCCAGAGTTTATAAGACTTAGGGTTTATTCTGAGACCGCGCTGATTTTGAAATATGACAAGTAAAATAGAAATAAAGTGGCATTAGGCCATATTGACAAACTCATGAGTAACTTAAAAATTCTGGTAGTGTCAGACTTTTGTTTTGCGTGGTGTTTGTTTTTTTGTTGTTGTTGTTTGGGTTTTTTTTGTTTTTGTTTTTTAACTTGATAGAACAGCAATAAAATTCTAGTTTGCTGAGTGTGGCTGACTGTTTTATCTTGTAATTGATATCAGTTGGTAATGCATCTGCATTTGGTTGGAATGGCAGAGGGGAGTATCCTGGTGAATCCCAGGAGCTTGAGGGAGGCTGGGCCAGAGGAGCAGGAAGCCTGTATTCTCTGAATGGATTTGAGTTTAAAGTGAGAAATCCATTGGCCAAGGCTTTTCTTTTGTGAAATGGCTTGCTTTTTCTTGCTTGTAATTTTATGCATCTACTTTGAACAGTGCTTAAGCAGTTAAAACTCCTTAAAATGTGTTAAAGCGGTAATTTTCTAGCTTACCATTAGATGGTCTCTTTTAATGAACATTAATTTAAAAAAAACCCAAAATGATGATTTTGTGCAATTTTGGAATAACAGAAAAATTTTAGCTGTCTTTTGGAAGTTACTGTTACTGTCAGTAACAGTTATTTCATCATTTCTGCATAGCACTAATTGTATGTCTAGTACGACATAACTTGACTCTGTTACCTCCTACCTGACTGCTCTCTAAAGAGTATGTTAGTTTTCATCAATATTAATCTGTAAATTATAGAAATACAACATCATGGGTAAATGTGTGCTCTGTGAGCAAGGCCAGTAGAGAAATACAGGATGAGGTGGCAAGATTAATCAGTTTTAGAGAGGTTAGTGCTATTATTTCCCTGGTGTGCAGAACAATTGACTTCTGTTAAAAGTTAACAGTGAAAAGATATCCCCATCCTTTTGATACAGTTACATGGGGCTGCTAAAATGGAACATGTGCCATTCTCTTACTTCTGTTCTGCTTTATATATATAATGCTTTTCCATCCTCAGTTAATGAAAGAATCTGGTCTCCATTTCTTCTGCATTTTTGTGATGGTCTGAACTGGGTCATCACTTGGTCTGGGATGTAAGAAAATGTCTTTGAAAGCTGCTTCTGTTCCTTCTATCTCTTTCTGTGCCCCCCCCCCCCTGGCTTCTCCTATCCTTTTAGTGGTTTTCAAAGTGCATTATCTCCCTGCTTCTCTTGTGAGACTATAGTTAGTTGTCTGTGCAGTTTACTCCTGTCTATCTTTTTCTGTGATACCACTGTGTGAAAGGTGAAGAGGGGAGTTGTGCATCAAACCATAACTCTTGAAAAGCAAATACTTGGTTCTGTGTGATATGAACAGTGTCACGAACAGGATGACTGTGAAAAGTTCCTGAGCTCTCCAAAGTCACAGGAAAGCTATTTTGTTGACATGACCAGTTTTTGTTGGGCGGTTGGGACTTATGTTTCTGTAGATAATTCTCTTTTCTCTTACAACTTTCAAAGTTGGCAGACAGAAACTGATGCATCTGGGACAACAAAGAAGGCAAAGCAGGTGATGTGAAGACTTGTGAGATCTGGTTACTTTTTTCTTAAGATTACTGCTTGAGTTGTGCTAGAAACACGTTGCGTGCTTTTACAGGCAACTAAGACGTCATCACAAGTACTGAAAACTGAAGGTACAAGGCCAATGATAATGTTCTGTTTTTCTGATACTATACATAAAATAGGTCATGGTTGGCTTAGAAGGTCAAGTTAACACTACTGCTGTAGCTGTGATGACAAGGATGTGGAAGGATGCTGTCTCTGCACATGTGGATTTGCAGAAGTCGCTGCTCTCGGATGTCATTATGCTGGTAAAGGTGTATTCTGTACTCGAATGGCTGGTTTCTGTCCCTGGGGTAGCTTTATGGCAGTGCAAAGCACATCTTTATGGAGCTTACAGTCACTCTGGGAGTGCTTTGCTGGTCTAGCATGCAAAACTGTGAGTTGAAGTGCTCTTAGTGTTTATGTAACTTAATAGATTCTGTTCTAATAGACTCAGAGGAACTTTTTTCCCCAAATCCTTTGGTCTTGATAGGAGAAGGCAAGATGATTTTTCTTGCCTTTTTTTTTTTTTAATTGTTGTTCCTCCTTTTCTTAACTGTAGAGCTGTACTACAGTAACCACAATGATGACTTCCAAGGTAGTAATTGATAAAAGATGGCCTGATAACAAAGGCTGAAATTAGTAATTTGTACCTGAACAATAAAAGTACAATGAAATTATAATGAGCATGGCACAGACTCAGAATGGACATAACTACATATAAAGTTTAGTACTTATTTGCTAAACCCAAAGAGATTGCTGAAAACTTGTCAGTTGGATGGAGAGAAACGCTTGCTCTAGGGCCAGACTACTGTAGCATTTTCTCAGGGGCACAGGATGACTTCTGTCTAGTGCTCTGCTTTTTCTCCTGAATATGTAACAGATATCCCTAAAATGGACAAGGAAAGCTGACAATGAGTGAACTGAAGATTTACTATGGAATGTGCAAGGCTGACTTTTTTTTTTTTTTGTATGTTTTGTATGTTTTCCAATTTTGCTATTTTCACCTGCAGTTAAGTGCATCATTTCTCCCCATTAAGCAACCTGAAGAGAAAAAGCGTTCTGTAGGTGGGAGAGAAGTATTGTAAAATTATTTAAATGTCAAATGAAACAGGAAGGTTATGGACTGGTGTAACGCAAGTCAATAAGGTAATCTTCTGAAATTTCGGCAATTTCCATTTAGGGCCGCCTTATTTTTAACACTAGTATTGAAACCATTGTGATGATTGGCATTCAGCTTGCCATCTCTCTAGTCCTTTTTTTGTGGGGAAGGTAAACTCTGTAGAGAGGTGGTGAAGAGATGCGTTTCATGATGACAAAAGGGAGGCTTTCCATTTGTTCAGTGAGGGAAGGGATGCAGAGGCATTTATGGGAGATACGGGAGATGGAGTCAGGGCAGAAGCGAGGGCTAGTGATGCACTAGCTTAAAATTACTTGGGACGGGATATTAGTCTGTGAGTAATTTAAAGAGAATTTGATCTTTGTTCTGGTGTGGAGGTGGTGGCAGTAGAGTTACGCATAAATGTGGCAAAGGAAGGTTGCCCAAGCAAAGCGTCTGAAGCTCTGTAAATCTTAGGCAATGATTGCTTGCATCATGTCCAGGCTTATTTAGCTTGAATAAAGAGATGAGTGCAAGAACACCAAGAACCTCAACAGGCTGTGGAGATAATCCTGGAAAAACTCCATGATGGGAAAGGTTAGAGGTGTCCTGCATGTGGGCATACTGAAAAAGGGCTAAGACAAAATGCCACCTTTGAAACAGAGTAGTAACTTGAGCAAATTTGGGCTATACAAAGCTACAGAAGTCTGAATAATCACAGTTTCTGAAATATTGTACACAAATTCATATGACCTATGCTAATCCTATCTAGAGAAACAATAGGAAATAATATGCATTCCAAATGCCCATGTTGGTGGTATTAGCTGAATTGTTAGGGCTGGTTTTTTGGTAGAAACTGAGAGGGTAACTTGCATTTGTGTCATCTTCACTCTAGTCTCTTGTGAGTCATAGCAAACTGTCCTTCATGTGAGCCAAGAAGTTGCTGTCTCCTCTTGGCAAAGAGTTAGTGTTAAATAGTTGTTTTGTGTAATAACACACATGATTTCCACAGGGAAATGAAATTTAAGATCTGTGCTGTTGTGAAAGATAGGTTTATTTGGAGTTAAAAAAAAAAAAAAGTTTATTTCCTACTCTTGAGACTGACACAGTAAGTTCGAAACATCTCCACTTTCATTTGGTGCACTTGGACAATGCAATTAGTTTATTTTTGTTTGTATAATCTTGCAGTCCTAGCAGTTGGTTTATTGTGGAATGGCTTGTGTTCGTCAAAACCAAGTGAATGAAGATGGGTAGGGAACGTTGTTTTGTCTTTAGCGAGAGGAGCCCATTGCCCCTTCCTGTCCCCACAGAGCTATACTGGAGCAAAATTTTACCATCCTACAAACAAGAAATGTTATTTGGCTTAGTAAGTTTAAATGTGAATAAGAACTCTGATTTATTTTGAATCCATTTATTTCTAAATGTATTCTGGTTTTATTATATAAAACATTTTCTTTCAACTTCCTGAGGCTTTCCTCAGAATCCTGCAAAAGCAATCCAAGAATAACCAATTTAAGAATTAGATCATCATCAAACTCAGTAGCTATCATTTATCATTTATTTCTTTAGTCCATTAGTTGTGTCACTTACACATGAAAATAAAGTCCTGGAAAAGTTTTCAGGCAGAGTTACTACTCTTGTTCTTCCTTTCCTCTCCAGTCGTCTATGCTTCCCTTCTTCTTTTTCCTCAATGTACTGTGATTCTGAATAATTATTTTTTAAAAAAAATCTTTGTGGTTACTGGATTTTCGCTGGCTGAGTATTTCCTGATCCTAAATATACGATCAGCAGTAAAAATGTTAGAATTTGTTAGCAGAATGACCAAATAGAATTTAGACTTTACTTCTCTCTACTACTAATTGTTTTCTTGTACATGGGTGTTCATACTTCCTATCTTGTCCTTATTGGGAACTGAATGTCCAATTCCCTTGGCCAATGTTCAAAATTACACTCAACATCTGTATGTGAAATATTATCACAAACATGAAAATACTATGGTATCTTTAATTGTGCTTATCGCTCTGCAAAAGCAGTGTCACCTTTTCAAAAGACTAGTTGTGAGGAATTAGCATGTCTTTCAAGTTTATAAATGGAAAAAAGGGGGGAGGGGCCAAAAAAACCAAAAGAAGCAGTCTCATACTTCTTCAGTGGAACCTCTTCAATTAAAAACTCCTTTCCTTGCTTTTATGTCTTGTATGTGAACCTCACCATTAATCTGAAAGAAACATGAGTAAAGTAATAGCTCACACATGCCCTTAAAAAATGAAACCTAATCATCAAAATAACAGTACCTTACAAAATTGAGTTATTATAAAAATTACTTTAACCTCATTTGTTTGTTTATGATCTTGAGTTAAGATCATTCTGTGCTCTTCTTTGAGTAAATGCATGAAAAACTCTTTAGCAGAAATACTACACGATTGCGATTTCTTTGAACAGGTACTTTGTGCTGGACTTTGAGACGGGGATTCTGCAGTATTTCGTGAATGAACAAAGTAAAAACCAGAAGCCACGAGGAACCTTATCTTTAGCTGGAGCTATAATATCGCCCAGTGATGAAGTGCCACATATGTTGGTGGTCTACTCTGCTAATGGAGAGATGTATAAGTTGAGAGGTACAGTGCTGCTTAAAGTGCCAACTGAGTTGTTCTTCTCTCCTATTCCCACTTCTGTGTCTCTTCTTTCATATCTCATTTCTCTTTTACTTCCCTATACCGTCAGAAAGTAGTGGTTATACATCTATATTGTTACGTACTATATTATAAAAAGCAGTGGAACAGTAATCTAGAGTTAAATGTGTGTGAATTTACAATATATAGACTTTCAGGGCTGGAAGATAACTCAAAATGCTTTCTCTAAGCTGTTATTGTGGCATTTTGATTGTACAGTATATCTTGTTTGCTTCTGAGGGAAGAAAAAGCTGCTTTCATTGCTGTCCACAGCATAGCATTTCATTTCTAATGCTGTTCTCCCCTGACACCATCCTGCAGATAATGTGCAGTAACGAATCTGCTGATGAGTCGGAGAAGGAAAAGATGCCAGTGGAAGGCTGTTAAGATAGTCTGTTCTTGTCAGTCTTGGAATAATTGAATGTACATTTAACATAAAATTTTGCCTTCCCTTGCTCCCAAACGTAAGAAAGACAATATAGGGTATGTAAGAGTTAATTCTGAATATTTAAAAAAAAAAAAACCAAACCAAAACAAACAAACCAACCAGCAGGATTCTGATTCTAAGGTATTTTCAGTATGGTTGATTACTCTGGGTACTTTTCCTATCAAGCAAGTTTATCAGAAAATAAACTGGTATATAAAAAAAAAGACATGTAATACAGTGTAACAGAAGTTTAAAATTATGTTAGTTTTATTCTGACCACAGTTTTATCAGCTGGCTGCAGGACAGAGTATGCAGGACTGCCCTGTGGTACAGTGTGTTGCTGTTTTGTATGTAAAACTGAAACACAAGCACAACCAGGGAGAGTTTCTGTTAAAATGTTTTGGAATATGCACAGCTAGAAATCACGAACACTTGTGGTTTCATTATCGTGCTTTGCTCATTACTTGAGATTATCCAATACTTACAATATGCTGCTTTTAATTTCATGAGATCTTTGAATTTGATTCAAATCAGGAAATAATTTTTATGCTGAGTCAATAACCATTGAGATACTTAATAGCAGGGGAAGTAAGAGAAAATATTTACTGAAATTATCCACTCTGTATTAGTATTCTTAATTAGGATTACTCTAGTAGTGGTTTGCTAATAAAAAAAAATCCAAAACCAAACCTCTTTCGTAAATATACTTACTGATATTACACAGAAGCCACCTGATACAGACTGCAGACAACCTTTTCAATAACTTTTAAAGCTGTTTTTTGAAGATGTATGGGGGAAATTCTGGTTTTCATTCTTGTCTTTAAGTTGCATGCGAATGCAGGTTTAAAGAGAGATTTAGTTGAACTACATTAAAACAGAAGTACTTAAGTATCTGGGGAACTGATAGCTAGTTTGGTAGCTGATTGACATCCTGAGTGTAGAGGTTTTACTGATACAAATGCTACGGCATGGCCTTTGTCCTTCACAAAGAGAGACAAGTAAAACAAAAGTGGATTAAAAATTTTTTAAAAAGTCATCTTGAGGTAATTCTGCTTTTAATAACACTTGGAGGAGATAACCATGAAGAAGACTCATAACCTTATCTCTTCCAACTGGCCACAGCATCTTAAGTTGAGGTTTAGATGTGTTGTACTGAAGAAGTTACACGTACTTAATTTAAGTAGCGTAAATTAGAATTTGTAGTGTGTCCTAACGAATAAAAAAATCCTCCCCCCTTCCCACCCCGTCACCTTCTCTTATGCAAAAAAAGAATATTGGTTTATGTGTGATTCCCTGCATTTTCTTGTTTCTGTTCTAGCTGCTGATGCAAAAGAGAAACAATACTGGATAACTCAGCTTCGATCCTGTGCCAAACATCACAAGGAAGGTAATTCGAAGGTAAATAATTAAGAGGGAGAAGTAACTATTATGTTTTAACTGGTGTAGGTGAAGAACAGCATGGTCTGCATGATAGACTGGCTGCTGTAGTTAGTGGGTTGATGTTTAGAGGTTTATGAATAAAAGCAGCAAGTTGGCATTCCTCACTAACTGGAGCAGACTTAAGTTAACTGGGCAATTTTAATAAATAAACATTGTCCTATTTATGAGAAATTAATGAAGTGCATTTTGGATAATGTCAATACATGCTTAATTGAGTGGCTGGATCAACAGTTTATTAAATACCTGTGTGATGTCCTGATTAGTATTTAAAAGTGTTAACTGATAGTAGTTTTATTTCATTTTATAAAATTTAATGGCCCTTATTATAGAAGCTTCAGGTAGATATTAGCAGTGGTCAGTCTTCAGCTTCTTTACCAAATCTGAAAGAGGTCATCATATGAAGATTTATGTTATTTATTTCTCTTCGGAAATGATGTCAGAATTTTTGTCCTCAAACAGATCAATATCTTGGACAGGTAAAAAACCGTTTGGACTTCAAAAACAGTAAAATGATGGGTTGAGGGTGTCCCCTGCCTCCAAATAGAAATGACATGAATCTGTTTAAATTAGAACGCACTTTGAAAGTGGGACGTATTAAAAGCAAACAACCAACCCTATTAGAAATAAATGATTATTGTATTTATTTTATGTATGCTGTTGGTGTTAATGCTAAGTCACTAAAAAAAAAGTCCTGCTCTTATCTTCATTCTTTTAAGCACTTCTATTGATATCTTTACAAAAACAAAAAAGATTGCTTTCCTCATGACTAATTGTTTGCTATATTAAAAAAATGCATATAACTGCAAGCAGAAAGGATTCCTCCCTGCCCCAAGATGCTGACAATATCAATCTTGTGTTAACTGCAGTCAAAATCATGATCCTGAGTATCTTTGAAAGTTGGACTTTGAAAAGATGGATGATATTTTGAGGAGACTAGCATTCACTGAAGTGTGTGAAGTAAAATCAACTTTTTTTTTCTTCTTTTTGAGTGATGTGGACTTGTCAGGAAGCAATTATAGTATAATTAAAATCCTTTTTGAAGGAGAATAAGTAACTTTGGTGTTTCGGTACTCTTTCAATTCTTAAGCATGACAATTAAATATGGTTTTTATATAGCTGTCGCCCAGTACTGTTCAGAAAGGTGCAACTCTACTTGATCAGAATACTCTTACAGTTGCTGTTGATTTGCAGCTCAGGGGCTTCCTGTGCTAGATAGAGACTATAACTTTTTATACTCAATTGCGATCAGTGAGTTATTCCTCAATAAGTTTTCCGGTCACTTCTTGAACCCATTTAAATGTTTAGCATCTACAATGTATTGTGACGATGTAACAGAACTGTTGTTCAATATATATGATATCAGACACTTGTGCAATGGAAAATTGATTCTTATACTTCTACTCTCTATTAGTTTGCTAATATTTCTTAATAGTGGATTTGTTTTTTCTCCTTTTGCCCGCTCCTGATAAATAATTCTGTTGAGGTGTCTATTTTAATACCAAAACCTCATTCCAGAGTGGCAGTAATTGAGTTGAAGCTGATCTTTGTGTAAGTGAAGTTTGGATCATTTTTCCTCCTCAGGTAAAAACTGTTGCACTTAGTAATAATTTATGCTCAGAATTTTTCATACTGCCTCTCCATGTTGAGCTCCTGCAGTAGTAGTATCTACATGTTTTGATAGGCTCTGAATTAGTTAGTATGTCAAGAGAAAAATCTTGGTGTTATAACAGTGAAAATGTCCAGCAATTAGTAGTGGTCCAAAAAAAAGCAAATAGAATTTCAGGAATTATCAGGAAAGGAGCAGAGAACAAAAGGGAAAATACTTAGACTGCTCTAACTCCGTCAAATGCTTCTCTTGAATACTTTTATCAGTCCTCTTCCATTTCTGAAACGGAAACATTGGAGTGGGGGAAAGTACTTTTCATCACTTTTGTTATTCTTCTGTACAGGATGAACTCTGTGTGACAAAACGTGACTACACGGGAGTCTTTTTTTCTGATGATGGGAAGGGAAAGGGCAAATCAGGGAAGTATAGTGTTAATAAGTGCTCTGGAGTGGCTGAATAGGAAGTATTTGCTAGCTGTTAATATCGCTGTGGGGGAGCCTCAAAGAAAATGAGCTGAAAACAGGATCAAAATAAAAGGAGGTGAATGAAAACTAGGATGCCTTGGATGCCAAAATTGTGTATAGGTTTGAAAAGTATTTGAAAGGCAAAATGTTATTAGATAGTCTTTACTAAGTGAGTGGGAGGCTATTAAATATAGAGACAGCATCTGTCCCAGAAGATGTAATGTGCAACTTTCAGAAACAGGAAGGTCTTAGAATGAGGAGCGTCTCTCTAGACTTGTTCTTGTACTCTTGCATGGTGACTTACCACTGCTGTGGCTTTCCTCTGGGTCCTAGGCTCATCATGCAAGAAAATAAAAGCATTTCCTTGACTGAGGGGTGGTGGCCATACATAACTGAGGAACCAAGCAAAAGATTATTTCAAACAGCAGGAGGAGGGTACAGAAAATTTACAGAAATTTGGCATAGGATGCTGGAATATAGATGTGTTTTGGTTGGTACAGCCAGCCATACATTTTAATTAGCTTGGATCCATTTAGTATAAAATAGAAATGCTTAAGAAAACTAAAATACATTTCTTAGTTCTATGTTACAAGTGTACATCTAAAATCAGACTAGGTCACTTTTCACTTGATGTGTTTGTTAGTGAAGCACTCTTAATTCTCCACTTTTGTAAGCCACAGAGCAAATAGAGAATTTGTATCTTCTGTATTTTTAAGCTTAAAGTCAAGAAGATAAAATGTTGGGAATTCGTGTGTCAGATGAGATCACTGATGACTCTGCTTCTCACTCCAGAAGTGTACTGTACTGAAGCAATGTTGTGCTTACCTGTTCCTAGGAACCTTTCTTTTGACAAGATTTGTCTCTTGGTTTTCAGTATACTTTTTTCCTTTTTCCCCTGCTATCTTCTCAGGGTTAGAGTATTATCTGAGAAACAGATTTTCACTGACTTTAGCACTGCATATAGTGCTAACTTGGATTTCACCTACAAGTAAGTTTTAAAGCTTCTCTCTGCTTTTCTCTGTAAAAGCAAGTGATCAAAAGCTTAAATGCTACAATGATTAGACTTTGGAGATCAGATATTGGTTAAAAGGAAGTGATGCTTCACAGACATTCCAGAAACTAGAAAAAAATGCATTTCTGAACTTCTTTTTCTTTTCCTCAAAGTTTCTTAACTTCAGAACCACTGCCTGGTAGGAGATAAGGGAAGCAAGAACTGCTGCATTTCTTTGTAATTTTTGTCTTTCTCTCGTAGATGAAGGTACTTTAATATAATAATTATTAGCATGGGAGTGGAAACATACTGTTTAAAATATGTTTAAAATATTTTAAATTTACATAAAATAGCGTGCTGCTATTTTAGCCACCTTACTGTTTCTTTTGTGTTGGGCTTGGGGACTGGAATTACATAGGGAGGTCTGTAATGACACAGAGAAGGGTACGTTTGACTTCCTTTTGCGTAATTGAGGACTTGACAAAAATTTGTATTTTTGGGTTTTGTTAAAACAGCCCTGCCATTGATAGGACTGTCATTATGTGATTTGGAATTCTGCCGGCAGCAGGGCTGGATCTCTCTCTTCCCCCCCCCCAGTACTTCAAGGGTTGTAGTAAGTGATAACTGCAAATTGTCTGTCTCTCATAGTGCTGTCACGAACAGGCAGATAGATACTTATGTGTGTTAAGCTTCTGGAGTTTGAACAGCATCCAAGCTCTGTCTCTGCTAGGAACAGGCACATTTCTGCATCTGGAAAGTTGGAGCCTGAGTGTTTGCTCCCAGCTTCTTCTACAGCTTAAATTCACCTTTTTCACGGGAAGAATGAGAGGTAGAAATTTCTAGCTATTTTTTAGGCATTGTACACTTGAGAAGGAGGTGGAATGGGAAGTGTAAAATATGCAGTGAGGGGTACGTTTTGTCTTATGCTGGTGGGATATAGGTTAACTGGGGAAAAATAATGGGATAACCAGGCAAGCAGTGGGAAGGTTCCCAAGAATACCAGTGAAGCAGCTCTTAGCTACAGGTCTTTCATCTTGGAGAGAGAACATGTTTTTGAAATCTTGAATGGATACTATTGGAAGGAGATTCATAGGAAAACATGAGAATTTGGAGAACGTTTTTCAAAGCTGAAGCAGTGTCACTATTTCTGTGAAATATTCATAGGAGAGCATTCCTTTTTCCTGCACTGGATCCAGATCAGCACTAGTTTCCTTTCAGAGTTACTGCCTGCTGTAAAATGCTACTGTATGACTTGCTGTCCTTGCTGTCTTTAAATTTTCGGTTGGGGACTGGAGTGGTGGAGGAAATTAAGCAGAGCAGTGATTTAAAAAAAAAAAAAAGTAAAAAAAAAATTTTATACTAATGACTAAATTCATTTGCATCCTAATGAATGATCCAAAGGTGAGCTATACAGCTAACAAGTGGATGTAACGCAAGCTAAGTCTGTTGCTTTGTTTTAATTAAATTTTACATCTTAATGATAAAAAAAGCACTAAAAGGATAATGTTCTCTGGCAAATAATTCCCATGCTGTAAGGTAGTGTTAATGTTCTTGGTATTCCCATACAAGACTCATTTCGCTTAATTACACATTGTTCAACCTCCACAGAGTGCCAAATCACACTGTATTGGAAGAAGTCTTCTGTGTCTGGATAGGATCACTGTTTATTTTTTAGACTATTCTAAGTGAATGTTATTGTACAAGTTTTAATTAAAGCATTAGTCAAATTGGAATTTGGTGATATAAAATGCTTCCAAGAAGAAGTAGGCTCATGTATAATTTTTGTGGTAACTTCCAAGAATAATTTTATATCCATAAATTGTCACAAGCTTGTTATTTTTTCTGTTTCATCCCCCTTTTTTCTTGACTGTTTAGTGATGGTGGCTGTAAAAGCACT